AGAGGTACCTTTATAAGGTCACACCTCTTTATAATCACCTGATTAGTACGTGCCCAACTGTGTGATTATAGGGGAGACGACTGTATATACCTATGAAAAACCTCTATAAATGCATGTCTTTTTTTGGGCCCAACTAATATAACACTTATAGATTCACTGGTCAAACAATCAAGATTTAACCAGGTCGAAGTTTACATTCAGCCTTAATTCAGTATATAAAATTAAAAATCGATCATCTTAATTCATGAATTTATGATCGAAATTAAAATTCGACATATAATTCAGTCTATATACGTAGCAGGTAGTATGTGCGACATACGTACGTATATACAAGGTCAATTTTTAATTTCGACTATAAATTCATGGGTCGAATTAAGATGATCGATTTTTAATTTTATATGCTGAATTAAGGCTGAATGTAACATTCGGCCTGGTCGAATCTTGATTGTTCGATGTATAAAATTTTGCATATAATATCTATAATATCTAATTACGTATCTAAGTTTTGATTAGAGACTCGCTTCGCATCCAATAACTATATATTTTAAAAGTAAGATTACATTATCGTTATTATTCTTACCAACTATACTACGTAATATAGAAATTTAACAAATTATTTATTCTGTACTAACTTTAATTAATTAATATTTGGTCGCACCTCGCACATAATAATCTGTCTGTACGATAACTACAATTATGTAATTACTTGGTTAGAGGGACTCTATTATCAAATTTGATGGAATATTTGCTTCGATACACTATGATATGCCTTCATACAGAAAGCTCGAAATTTCATTTTTACTGTACGTAGTATTATTCCATTCAATACAAAATAAGACTATCTATATTGAATCACAAGAGCTAACGACCTATTTCGATGTTACTAATGAAGAACAGATTAACCTATTTTATATTTATGTGTATGACCAATGTGTCAATGTGTTATATTCAAAAATATATGAATGGCCAAATAATTCAAAAAACTGGAATGACTATTTGTTTTTATTTATCCGTTTCGTTTTTCTCACTAAATATTTAAATGATATTTTTATATATCTATTACTCTCTTTCACTATGACGAACAACTTCGTCCAATTACCAAATGAAATAATTATAGAAATATTTTCTTATATATCCACAAAGCAATTGTGCCGCAATTTTATGGTACTTTCGCGTACCATTAATTGTGAAATAAAGAAAATAATTATTTCTCGATTTAATGCCACATTTTGGAGTCCACATAGAAGGTTATTGGTACGTATACGTTTTTTAACTCTTATTTTTATTTTATTTTATTTATCATATCATTAACACCTATTTTCTTTCGTTCATGAAGGTCATTGTCACAAAATATTTGTTAGACTTTGTACCAGTATATAATGCTTTCGATTTAGCTTTCAATAAATTGGAAGATTTTGTAGCCACTTTCTCTATTGATAAGTCACAACCAATTGGTACTTTAGGACCAAATCATGAAAAATTATGGGGTTTCAAACTTCGAGGTAATAGTATACTTCGCGGTGACCCATTAAATGAACCAATGATGTACACTGAGTGGGATCAATCATACGAAACGAAAGGTGTAAGAATATATGTATTTGATTCGAAAACTGATGAAGATCATCCATTTATAAATGCATTTTTTGTAACTAATGGACTATTAAAAACACCAACTGATGTTGGAGAAGAAGAATCAAATGGTTTATGGTCATGGGTACTTTCTGGGAAAAAGAATAAATTACCGAAAGCTAGACTTTATGGTAAGTGTGTAAAGAAACAAACCATTAATGGAGATTCTACAACATCCTGTTTATTGGAATCAGTTACTGTTAAAGTCTCGATGATAATGGTTGCCATTGAGGAACAGAGAAAAGATAAATTTGTTGATGGTGTGAAGTATTTAATAGTAGATGGTGGTCAACAATTTTTGAGACGAAGAAAAGGCTGTGCCATTTCTTAGCCATTTTTAATTGTTTCTTGCCATAGTCATAGACATATAAATATATATATTCTTAACGATTAAAGTTCGTGTAACGCATTTATACAGTATTAACAATCTACAAGGTTGAAACGAAAGAAATTCTCTTCACAACTAGAATAAAGTTCGTAAGATTTTGTACTGTATGCGTGTCAACGCATTTACATGTGCATGTATTTTTAACATATTGATATTAACAATTAAAATAAAGTTCGTACAATTTGTCAAATGTAATCTTTCCTACTGTTCACTTAATCTTTACTTTTATACGCGATGTCACGAGACTGAGTTACGGTCTCAATACCCAGGTCGGAATCATCGAGAGCTAGGGCATTAAGCAACTATAGCAAAATTATAACATCAGCAAAAGCTGATTGGTATAAATCAATTGCTAGGTAACTTATTTATACACTTTAAAGTACAGCAGTTTACACATTCGGCTCCCCTTTACGCAGATTCTCAACAAATTAGTACATATCAAGTATGTAAAAACTGAAAATATGTCACCACAACTACATGTTCAAAATCTTAACGCGTATGTCTATATAAGTGTCGTTTTCAATACTTTATTTTTTAGTTGTCGTTTCCCGAGAGTAGTTTTTTTGGTTCCTAGTGTTTTGTATCTTATATTTTTTGTGGTTTGTTTTATTTATCATATCATTAACACCTATTTTCTTTCGTTCATGAAGGTCATTGTCACAAAATATTTGTTAGACTTTG